TTCTATATTATTCTAAAAAGAATGTTTCAGTGTTCAATATGATGATGTGAAGGTTCGTGTGTCCCCATGTGGATGACAACACCTGTGGGTCCTCCCAATTACTGACACTTACTTGGGGTCCTGGCTGACTGTAGGAAAGGAACAGATGCCACGGCAGTACAGCTGGTACCTGCGCCGGGTTCCAACAAGCTCAAAGTTGAGGGTTTGGTCAAAGTTCCCAACACTGTTGGAGTGGAAATGAATGCGTAGCAGGACTTGTCCTCCAGCTGGGACCACCCAGCGGAACAATCCTAGTCTAGAAACAGAAACAGATATGACAGTTATGTACATTCTGCTGCTGGGCGAATGAAACAAGCAGCCACCAACCATAGATGATTTACAGCACAATGATCAATACAGTGATGATAAGTATTATAACACATTGACATTTGATCAATAAGTCACAATCTGCTGCCTATAGAGGTAACCTGAGACTGGGAAGCCACCCATTTGCTGCTTAAAACACTATACTGGTGTTATTGAGGCTTTCTCTGAATATACAGAAATGTACATACTGTATATATTTGGACACAGGCACAATTTTCATACTTTTGGCTCCGTATGCCACCAGAATAAATTAAAACAAACCTATCCAAATGAATTTGAAGTGCAGACTTTCAGTTTAATTCAAGGGGTTGAGCATGAATATCAAGTACAAATATTCGGAACTGCAACCAATTTTATACACAGTCCCTCCATTTTCAGGGGCTCAAATATAATTGGACAAATGACTATAATCATAAATAAAATGTTAATTTTTAATATTTTGCTGAGAATCCTTTACTGGCAATGACTGCCTGAAGTCTGGAACCCATGGACATTACCAAAGACTGGGTTTCCTTCTTTCTGATGCTTTGCCAGGCTCTAACTGTAGCTGTCTTCAGTTGTTCTTTGTTTGTGGGTCTTTCTGCCTTTAGTTTTGCCTTCAGCAAGTGAAATGCATGTTCAATTGGGTTGAGATCAGGTGATTGACTTGGCCATTGCAGAATATTCCACTTCTTTTTCTTCAAAAGCTCCTGGGTTGCTTTTGCAGTGTGTTTTGGATCATTGTCCATCTGTACTGTGAAGCGCCGTCCAATCAACTTTGCTGCATTTGGCTGACTGGCTCACAGTAGATCTCTAAACACTGCAGGATTCAGCCGGCTGCTGCTGTCTTCTGTCACATCATCAATAACCACCAATGACCCAGTTCCACTGGAAGCCATGCATGCCCATGCCATCACACTGCCTCCACCATATTTTACAGATGAAGCTGTGTGCTTTGGAACATGAGATGTTCCAAGCCTTCTCTACACCTTTTTCTTCCCGTCATTCTGGTACAGATTAATCTTAGATTCATTCATTCAAAGAATGCTTTTCCAGAACTGGTCTGGCTTTTTTAGATGTTTTTTTGGCAAAGTCTAATCTGGCTTTTCTATTCTGCAGGCTTATGAATGGTTTGCACCTTGTGGTGAACGCTCTGTATTTGCTCTTGTGAAATCTTCTCTTGATTGTAGACCTTGACAATGATACGCCCACCTCCTGGAGAGTGTCCTTCACTTGTCTGGATGTTGTGAATGGGTTTTCCTTTACCATAGAGTGGATCCTGCGATCATCCACTTCTGTTGTCTTCCATGGACATCCATGCATTTTTACTGTTTATTTACTTGCTAATCTGTGGTGTAATACAAATCTGCTGAATTCTTTCAAACATATACCCTATGATAGATGCAGGAGCGGACTGACAACTCATGGGACCCCCGGGCAATAGGGGATCATGGGGCCCCTTTGTCCTTGCCCAAACTCAAAAAAGCCTATGAAAAAGGTATGAGGGTCATCTCATAGTGCCCCCTACTGACCCCGGGCCCTCGGGCACTGCCCGAGTTTCCAAATGGTCAGTCCACCCCTGGATAGATGTGTGCTAAAGCAGTACCAAAAGAAATAGGAATTCATTTTATTGTAAATGGAAAGGGAGGGTGTTCTCTTTGGAGGAGGAAAACCTGTCCTAATAGCATCTTGTGTGTAGATCTGGTTCAGGTCCTAAGCTGCTGCCTCTCTGAACGCAATGGAGGAATTGTGCTTCAGAACATCAAACCGTGTGCTCAGAAACTTGTTTAAAATTCCTATTGAACAAGAACTTCAGATACAGCCAACATGTTTCAGAGGATGGGCCTCCCCCTTCTTTGGGGCTTCCATTGTAAGTTGATCAAGGCAGAGTTTGCTGAATAGCCCAAGTTGGGGCTATATTGAGGCTGAGTGTCAGTGTTAAAGAATGACGAAATAGCAATAAAACAAACAGAACATCAACTTACTTTTGGATTTTTTCTTGTTGAGCCTCTCCTGCTAGGCTGCTGTGCTCCTGGTCAGAGACAGGTGTCCTGGCGCCGGGTGGTGGTGGTGAACGGCTGTCCTGGTTCTGCTGGTTCTTGCGGAGAGAGGAGGAGCGCCTCTTGTCCTTCTGGCTCTCTCGGCCCGTGTCTCCGCCTTTCTCTTTCTTGCTGCGACTCTTCGTAGGTGTCACCTGCTCCTCCTACGATCACACATGATAAAGATCTCATGACGCGGCTATACTACACCTATACACCTGATATCTCTACAATAACTCACAGGCACTCTGAATTCCATCTGTTTAGTCTGCTCCTCATACACAGCAAAACATTTCTATGTAAATAACTAACAATAGCAGCACTAAAACATAGTTCAAAAAATTTTTCACTATTATTGTTAAAGTTCTTATAAAATATAACAGTGCTTTTTAAGTCCTTTTTAAAGAATGCTTCATAAAGAGTAAATACTCCACGGGTGATCTTAAATCTTCTTTTCCATATAATTAAGTAGATTGCCAACTCACCAGAGGTGGAGGCTGCCTTAATCAAAAAAGTGCAGCATAAACGCATCAGAGCATCATCATTATTACTGGCAATCCAATCCTCCATCCACTCATCCACTTCTGTTATGTGCTCATAGCCCATCCAAAAAATATGAAAAACATATACTGTAATATTTTACCAATATCACATCAACAAACACCTGTGTTGTCAGCAGAGCCGGTGCTAGACTATATTGCGCCCTAGCTACTTGCGCCCCCCCCAAACAAAATTAATGAATTAATTTTATAAACAGTAGAAACCTATTTATTCATTCAACAAACCATGAAACTGCTAAATTTCTTTTCATTTGCAAAAATAAGTGCCATAAGATGCCACCAGCACCAATATTAAAGACAAAATCAATGTCACGGACGGACTATCTGTGGCTGGCAGTGGCAAGGTGAGTGGAGGATGATGGATCCACACTCTGACAGATCCCAGGCTGGAATTCCCCAGGCAATGGGGGGGGGATAAAACTCTGTGACAGCAGGCAGCTCAGCCCACACACAGAGAGAACACCTGAACTGAGCGATCCCACACAGTGACAGATCCGACACAACACAACGTCACCAACACTGACAGATCAGCAGGCTCAGTAGGCACTATTTATTTATTTCAGGTACTTATGTATAGCGCTGTCAATTTACAACCCTAGTACTGCCAGGCGAAAGTGCTAACCACTAAGCCACTGTGCTGCCCATACTAGAAGAGCAGGCTGTGGTATAGTGATGATGTCATCACTGACTGATACATTGCACATGTGATGGATGGCCTGGCGGCTGGGTCACACTCACACAAACATGTGACATCATAGTCAGACATTACCTTCCTCCGCAGGCACAGCTCCGCCTCCACTGATGAATGGGAAGAGAAGGGCTGGAACTCCACAGTGATTAGCAACCGCCAACAGGCTTGCAGTAAGGGACTGAGTCTGGGATGAACACTGGAAGGAGTGGCAGCTCAGCTGCTACACTGGCCCCAGACACCTAGCATCTTCCTCTGTCTTTTCTTCCTCCTCTCTGCCGCCCCACCCCTCAGCTGAAGTATCAATAATGATGTGGCGGTGTCCCACACAGAGAAAGTGCTGTCCTGTTCTGCACCCAGGTGCCCCTAGGTTGCAGTGCGCCCTAGGCAGCTGCCTAATTTGCCTATCGGCAGCACCGGCCCTGGTTGTCAGTATACTAATGTGATAAGGTGCTTATCCAAAGACTTCCTGTACTACACATATGCAATGCGCACTCACCGACTATAAAGGCTGCCTGTTAACAGTGCAGCAAGATAGCGTTTCCTATAGAATAAGTAAAGGTAACGATTATCCCTTATTAAATTTATAAAATACCGGCCCAAAATGTTAAAAACATACAATAAAAACCATAAACATACTAAAAAGCCACTGACACGTACATCAAACACCGCCACTTGGATACCCGAAGTGGTGGCGCAACCTCTCGTTCTCTGTATTGCCCTATGCTCATTTCACATGACTGTGCATCCTCAGGGGCATCTGGGATGCGCATAGGGCAATAGAGAGAGTGAGAGGTCACGCTGCCATATTAGGGACTTAAGTGGCTGTGTTTGGTGTAAGTTTAATAAATACTACACTATATGGCGGTCTTTTTCTTATTGCCTTATGGAGATGCTGGAGTACAAGAGCAAGACAGCGCCCCCCTGTAGGAGAATATAGAAGAGTGAGAGTACTGTATAAGAACAATAATCGCTAACTGCACTTTATATGAAACGCCATCTTGCGCACTGTTACCGGGCAGCCGTCAGGCTAGGTTCACACCTATACAGGTTGCGTTTGAGCCGTTTCTACATTGCGTTTTTTACACTTTCTGATGCGTTTAGTGGGGTTTTTTTATTTTTCTTGTTGCTAGGCGGATTTAAATGCAAAATGTAACAAAAACACAGCAAAAACGCACTACATGCTTTTCTGCAGCATTTCCATTCAAGTCTATAGAACCAAAAATGCAAATTTTTGCATTAAAAAAAAAAGTCCCTGACCCTTTCCAAAAAAACGCACCGGGTGAAAATGTGGAGATGTGAATATGTTCCATAGGAAATAATGTTAAATGGACTGTACTGCATTTCTGCAAAAGGTGGGAACCTAGGGTTATGGATGGTGAGTGCGCATTGCATATGTGTGCTAGATGAAGTCTTTGGATAAGCACCTTATCACATTAGTACATTGACATCACAGGTGATTGTTGATGTGATATTGGTAAACAGGGGCGGACTGACAACTCATGGGGCCACCGGGCAATTGGGGATCATGGGGCCCCTGTGTCCTTGCCCACACTCAAAACACACCCAAAAAGGCCTATAAAAGGTACCAGGGGCATTTTATGTTACCCCCTACTGACCCCGGGCCCTCGGGCAGTGCCCGAGTGCTCGAATGGTCAGTCCGCCCCTGTTGGTAAAATACTACACTATATGGTTTTCATATTTTTTGGCTGGTCTATGAGTACATAACAGAAGTGGATGAGTGGATGAAGTTGTCTAATAGAAGCTGGAGGATTAGAATGCCAGTTATAATGATGTTTTGATGTGTTTATGCTGCACTTTTGATTAAGGCAGCCTCCATCTCTGGTGAGTTGGCAATCTATTTATTTATATGGAAAGGAAGATTTACGATCACCTCTGGAGTGTTTCCTCTCTATGAATCATTCTTTAAAAGGGACTTATTATTATTATTATTATACAGGATTTATATAGCGCCAACAGTTTGCTCAGCGCTTTACAATATAACGGGAGCAGGTGCGGACTAACCATTTGGAAACTCGGGCAGTGCCTGAGGGCCCAGGGTCAGTAGGGGGCCCCATGAGATGCATACAAAAAAGGGGGGTTGTGAAAAGAGATTCACAGAAAAGCGGCTACATAATGAACAGAACGTGACACTAAGGGAATAATTTCCAAAAATTATGCTTTATTACACACAAATGAATATGACATATGGGCATTTGCCCTGGTTTACCATCACCTCAGTATGAGACAATACACACAGACCTAAAACCATTTAAAATGACACAAAAACCGGTCTAAATGTATGTGTAGCAGGGAAAATGGCTACATGAGTCTAGTGTCCCTGCAACACAAACACACAGGTGAACACTTCCCTAGGGAGGTGTATCCAAAAATTATGCCATGGGCATACCATAATAGAGGATATAAGGGATTAAACAGTAACCATAATGGCAAATCCCTATCAAGAAATCCAAAAAATTATGCTGTAAATATATCACATGTATGCAATGGAGCAAGCACAATATGCGTCAAAAAGGAGAGTAGCAGGCCTCAGACCTGTATGAAGGAAGACATAAATGTCAAATATATTGTACAATACATTCCTGTGCCGGCACAAGTGGTTGGGGCCCATTCATCTGTAATATAGATAGCTGTTTCCTAGAGCTCTTGGATGGGAATATGCCCCATTTATTTCCAGGATGGAAGAAAAGATGCACACAGCAGCACTCTGCTTGAAATGGTTTCTTCACCACTACATGTGGACTATACACCACTTTTTGTAGGAAAAAACAAGACACATCCCAAAGACTCTTCTGCCTGTTGAAATATATATGGTATATCTTGTTTCCTATACAAGGCACCATGATGTCCCCATCCTGTAGTGAAACAAACAATATGTGGGAAGTCACTGACAGAGCTCACACTCTATAGAAGATATATAGGTCATATAGATCACAGAGGACCATATATCTAATGTCCTGCAACAATCCACTCACCACCTGTGCTATGGATAACGGGAATGAAAGAGAAATCCTTCATAGGTACTGCCATACAGGGCCAAGGCGGCCAAGGAACCACCGCTGACATCCGCCGATATACCGCGGGTTCCAGCCCCTTCTTGGCGCTTGTGCTGCTTAGGCTTGCCTCATGGCTTGTGAAGATGGCTTCCTCCTTATGGGTCAGCGTGCGTTCCACCTAGTGCGCATGACCGGAAGTGACGTATCTGACGTATGACGTCAACGCGTTTTCGCCGATGGGCGTATCTCACTCAGCTTCGTCAGGACCAATGACCAATTCATTGGTCCTGACGAAGCTGAGTGAGATACGCCCATCGGCGAAACGCGTTGACGTCATACGTCAGATACGTCACTTCCGGTCATGCGCACTAGGTGGAACGCACGCTGACCCATAAGGAGGAAGCCATCTTCACAAGCCATGAGGCAAGCCTAAGCAGCACAAGCGCCAAGAAGGGGCTGGAACCCGCGGTATATCGGCGGATGTCAGCGGTGGTTCCTTGGCCGCCTTGGCCCTGTATGGCAGTACCTATGAAGGATTTCTCTTTCATTCCCGTTATCCATAGCACAGGTGGTGAGTGGATTGTTGCAGGACATTAGATATATGGTCCTCTGTGATCTATATGACCTATATATCTTCTATAGAGTGTGAGCTCTGTCAGTGACTTCCCACATATTGTTTGTTTCACTACAGGATGGGGACATCATGGTGCCTTGTATAGGAAACAAGATATACCATATATATTTCAACAGGCAGAAGAGTCTTTGGGATGTGTCTGTTTTGTTTTTTCCTACAAAAAGTGGTGTATAGTCCACATGTAGTGGTGAAGAAACCATTTCAAGCAGAGTGCTGCTGTGTGCATCTTTTCTTCCATCCTGGAAATAAATGGGGCATATTCCCATCCAAGAGCTCTAGGAAACAGCTATCTATATTACAGATGAATGGGCCCCAACCACTTGTGCCGGCACAGGAATGTATTGTACAATATATTTGACATTTATGTCTTCCTTCATACAGGTCTGAGGCCTGCTACTCTCCTTTTTGACGCATATTGTGCTTGCTCCATTGCATACATGTGATATATTTACAGCATAATTTTTTGGATTTCTTGATAGGGATTTGCCATTATGGTTACTGTTTAATCCCTTATATCCTCTATTATGGTATGCCCATGGCATAATTTTTGGATACACCTCCCTAGGGAAGTGTTTCACCTGTGTGTTTGTGTTGCAGGGACACTAGACTCATGTAGCCATTTTCCCTGCTACACATACATTTAGACCGGTTTTTGTGTCATTTTAAATGGTTTTAGGTCTGTGTGTATTGTCTCATACTGAGGTGATGGTAAACCAGGGCAAATGCCCATATGTCATATTCATTTGTGTGTAATAAAGCATAATTTTTGGAAATTATTCCCTTAGTGTCACGTTCTGTTCATTATGTAGCCGCTTTTCTGTGAATCTCTTTTCACAACCCCCCTTTTTTGTATGCCTCTTTTGGCTACTGAATGGAGACCATACATTGGGTGACACGTTAATGTATTTTAATAACCTCTTTAATAACTATCTTAGTATATTGGCCCCATGAGATGCCCCTGGTACCTTTCTCATAGGTTTTTTTTTTGAGTTTGGGCAAGGACACAGGGGCCCCATGATCCCCTATTGCACGGGGGCCCCATGAGTTGTCAGTCCGCCCCTGAACGGGAGTCTATACAGCAACAATACAGTTCAATACAAGAGGGTAAGGAGTGCCCTGCTCCTTGGAGCTTACAATCTAAGAGACTTAAAAAGCACTGTTATATTTTATAAGGTATTTAACACTAAAGGTGAAAAGGTTTTTTTTTGGACTATTTTTTTATCACTGCAATTGATATTTATTTATTTTGAGCTAAGGTTGTATATTGACTTTTTATTGCAAGCAGCTTAATTTTCCTTTGTTGTAGCGCTGGCTTTCGCAATTTTTTATAAAACATTTCTATGACATCTCTCCTCCTGGACTGTCAGATCTACACTGGTCTGTCACCCAAAGACACACAGTGGTAGAGCGGTCTTCTCACCTTTAATGATGGGATGGTCAATGCCGGGTCCAGCTCAGGCTCTGTATCCTTCTTCTCTTCAACAATTATATTGGGATCATCTGGGGATGCTGCTATAAAGGTGAAGTGGCTAAGGGTCTCCTGGTCAAAAGGTGATCCCTTCCTGTCTGGGATGGGATGACTGAGAAGATGTATGGAGGTGGGACTGGAGGACCAGAAGGACCCAGGCCAAAGCCTTCAAGAAGCTGTCAGGAAGGAAAAAAATAAAATAATAAGAGATATCTGAAGTATAGATTGTCCTATGTACCATTATTGGCTTAGTAGTGACTACTACCTAGTGTCAGGAGGGTACAGAAACAGGTCATTGTATATGATATGCTGTTTAAAAAGGAGATTGGCTTACTTTTTTTAACTTTTGTTTCCTTTCTACATAAATATAACAAAAATATGATAAAGAAAATTAGGCCTCTATTACAGTCCCCACACCCCCCTCTTGTGGATAGGCCATCACCATGAAGGAGTGGGGTAAAACAAATACTATACTGAGGCTTTAATATACCAAGCCAAGGGTCTTCATGCCCATAGCAGGTGGGCCTATGTACAGGGAGAAGGACCAGCATCTGCCCGTCAGTGATGTCGGGCAAGTCTTTAAAGTGTTACTAAACCCACAACAGTAGAATCAGTCTGTATATGTAGCAAAGCACACTTGTTATAATGACTGTGGAACCTAAGGGATCCTCCACATTGTGTGAAAAGGCTATTTGATCCTGTCTACTCTGATCCTCCCCTTCGTCTACTGTCCTAAAATCCATCTGCTGATAGTACAGAGCTCTAGGAGTCACTCTGCACATGCTCAGTTCAGTGTGTATTGCTAGCCAGTTTCTTTTTTCTTTGGGAGGGTGCATGTGATCAGCACAGGGCCAATCAGAACTGTCCAGACAGAGGATCATGGGTCATGCAGCCTCACAGGAAAGTCAAAGGCGAATGAAAACTCCTCATACAAGCTTTAACCAGTGCTCAGCTGGACACTAATAGAGCTCACAAAACTGCTATATACTGCTGATGAGAAAAGGTATTTAGCAGTTTATATTTAATAAAATAATTGCATTTTCATGTTCTGTGTACTGTGGAAGACCAGATATAGTGAATGTAGGGTTCTGGGTTTAGTAACACTTTAAGACATCATGGAGGTTGGTGGGCTGCAGGACCAGTGGGACAGGCTTTGTAGTTCACAGCTTAGTCAGCTATCAATTACAGCCTATGGAATTTTACAAAAAAAGCAGGGGCCCAACAGAGGATCCCTTGGACCTCTGGACTGCCAGTCATGTGACAATCTTCTGAGTGCCACTGAAAATAACACCACATGCCCGCTCTGGCACCATTGTCTTATATTTGCCTATTCTTGTATTAAGCCATAAGAAGTGGAATTTTAAGGATGACACATTCAAAGAAGAAACAGTTGAAAATATCATTTTTTCATTGATTTGTAAATTCATGAGGAACAAACGATGAAAGTAGAATTCCAGTCTCAACCT